TATTTGTCTTTCTCTGACTGACTTATTTCACTTAGCATAGTGTTCTCTAGGTCCATCCATATTGTTGCAAATGGTACGATTTCCTTCTTCTTTATAGCTGAGTAATACTCCATTGTGTAAATGTACCAAAGTTTCTTAATGCAGTCATCTACCGATGGGCATTTTGGTTGTTTCTAAGTCTTAGCTATTATGAATAGTGCCGCAATGAACATAGGGGTACATATATTTTTTCAGATTAATGTCTTGGGGTTTTTTTGGATAAATACCTAAGAGTGGGATTGATGGGTCAGCCTTATCAGTCTTGATGGTCGCCAGGCCTGGCACACGGACCGTGCCCACTAATTGTGAGCTGAGTAGGTGAGTGGTTTACTCTTAGGCTGTGAATCTTGGAGACTTGATCCTCTGTGCAGCGTTGTTTATTAAAGACTGCAGAATGGTGGGGTTCATGAAAACAAGACAAGGGGCTATGCCTATGTTATCAACAGTGAGTCCCACGTGCCCAGGTGGTGGCCTGTGGCAGGGGGTGCAATGAATATTTACCGAGTCGAATGAAGGACTAAAGAACCAAAGATGGAGCCCAAACCGATAGAGAGGCCTGTGTCACACTGTGGGTCAATGTATATGTCACACCTATATCTTCCCCGTCCTGCCCCATACAAGGGTTATGTGCACTCTCCAAGCCTATCGCTACTATAAAAGGCTATTTTATACACCTTGGCATTTGCTTCTTAGGTAACGAGTCTGACCTTGAACTGGAAAAGAAGTTTAAGGAAGAAGATGGAGAAAAGGCCCCGAGGAGGCCGCGGACACAGAGAACAGAGAAAGTCCAGAAGACCTCGGGAAAGGAGGCCGGGCAGGTTTCCGGAGCAAAGAAACCCATCATAAGCGTGGTTTTAACTGCACACGAAGCTATTCCAGGTGACCTCAACAGGCAGGAAGTGACAAACGAGACTCTCTGGGCAAGGCTGTACAGCTTGGACCCTGTGATCCCGGGCGGCTTGCTCACTTATTTACTCACTAGTCTGGGACCCGCAGACCTGTTACCACCCGGGGCTGTTGGGGATAGCGTGCAGAGGAGAGATAGCGAGGGGCTGTTCCTGCTGCCGCCGCCGCCACCCCTGCCATCCCAGTGGCCACTCAGGAGCAGCGGCCAGGGAGAGGGTTTCTTTCCTTTGCCCCCTCACCCAGCCTGTCCCATGGATGCCTGCTTCCCCCTCACTGCGCTCAGCGGGGCCGTCCTACGTGTAAGACGGACCCACTCAGACACACTGAGGAGCTGCCTCTCCAAGACCTACACTGGCTATTCAGTTCCCTCGGCCTGGTTTCTTTTTTGCATTTTTTAGTGGGGTTCATCAAATATTTATAATGCTGGAAATTTCTCTCTCCCTTTTATTTCATATAAAATAGCAAGTGGATATCTTATACTACTTTTTTTTTAAAAAAGGTCTCTTTCAGGAAGGGATACTTCAGACTAAAAGCAGCTTATGATAGTAGATTCCACAGTATAATAATGTTGTTTTGTTTTTGTTTTTCCCATCCATTTGGGGTGATAGGTGTCCAATAAAATTGAAAAATCAAGTTTAGGATTTTAAAAACAGCTACAGCCTTTTAAGCATCTATTTTCAATGCTAATAGTAACTCGTTATTTAAAATGAAAACACTGAATAAATTCCTGTTTATACTTCAGTGCTGAGTAAGGTCGTAAGTCAAGAATTATTCACATAAAATCATATGACGAGGAGAACTTTCAGGAAAGTCACTTTGCCCTGCCCTTCTTCAGAGCAGTATTATCCTGGGAAATGGAAGTCGCAGACAGGTTCCTGTCCTCAGCCATGTCCTGAGAAAGTTTCTACAGTAACTCCTTAAAAATTGATGGTTGTATTTTGAGATTTATACAAGTGGCGTGAAAAGTATAATTAATTTCCTGTGCTATTCGGGAAACAAGGGGCTAAGCGGAGCCTTTCCTTTAATGCACTTGACACATACATGTGTGTGTGTGTGCACATGTATGTGCACATGTATATACACATACACATGAGGTTCCCGCTGCTGTACAAGGTCTTTGATCATTTCACATCATAGAATTGCACAAGTGACCTTGGGGTTTCTCCCTGCAAACCCTTCATTTCATGGGTGGAAGCAGAGGCCCAGAGATGGGGGGCAGCATCCTCCTTGGGACTGGGCCCAGGCACCCTGGTGCCTGTCCACCGCTGCTCGGTGGATCCTTGCTGCTTGATGCCGTTTTACACTTACACAAAGTTTGACACACGTGATTCCCTGTAAAACCTTGCAGGTATACACACACACACACACACACACACACACACACACACGCACATTATGTATCTATATGATTTTGTTTTTTAATAAATAGATCAAGTGGAAATATACCTCAGGACATTTTGACAGATTCTTAGACAACTTGCCTATCCCCGTCTCCTGCCCCCCATCTCCCACCCCCCACCCCACACACACACTCACACAGGTTAAATGTGCGAACTGAGGGAAAACTATCTTGCACGGGGAACATACAGTAAAGAAACACACCTTCCAGGCTCTGGTCCCTCCCTGGGCCACTCGTGGTGCCTCTCTGATACTCAGTGCGTTGTACCTCTGTCTCAGGTGCCACCAAGATTGTTCCCGTGGAGGCTGGGCCCCCAGAAACAGGAGCCACAAACCCCGAGGCCACCTCGGCCGACCTGGCACCTCGGAGAGGGTACCAGGAGTACGCCATTCAGCAGACGCCGTATGAGCAGCCCATGAAGTCCAGCAGGTAAAGTGTCTGTTGTGCGTGACTTGCAGACAGAGACGGGACTCCAGTGACCCCCACAGAGGGCGAGGGGTCAGCACGCTAGTTTATTAGGACTCCGCTTTGTAAAGGACTTGGGTTTCTTGATTTAACTTAAGAATCAACTCCTCCATTATGGCCCGTTAACGACCCACTGTGTGTGATCTCCACACGCCCTCCAGGGTCTCTGTCTCAGCTGTGACATGTACCTGAAGAGGTAGATTAGCAGGCATCACCTGAGCTCTGCAAACATCTTCCATCCTGAGAGGGACATCAGAGAAAATGCCCGTCACGGATGGGTCTCCCTGTTTCTGAAGAGGGGAAACGGGATTAATCTTTAGTGCTAAATGGACCTGGGTTGGCTCCAGATTCTTCTACTGAGTTCAGCTCTGCAGATTAAACACCTGTTATGTGTCAGGTGCTGGGAATGTGAGCGAGATCAGGACAGACAGGGCCACTGCCTGGATGAAGCTGTCAATCTCCTGTGAGCGGACACGTGCTCTTGACTCCAAGCCTCTGTCACACCAACCACAAGATTGTCCCATAGGCTCTGACTTAGTCTAGTGGTGAGAATAAATGTCAAAAGATATGGAAACTGTCGGGCACATGCTGTGCTCCTGTTAAACTACAACATAATGTCATGCGGGTTGCTTCATTAATTTGTAGCCTCAGTCCACTCTTCTTTCAAATGTGAGCAACTGAATTTATTAATGAAGTTGTAAAAATTCTCATTCCTTTGGCAAAACTGTAATGGCATTGAATTTGAAGACCATTCTGGCCTCAACTCAGGTTGATTTGTAGACCTTCGCTAATTATCTTCATATTTCAAGGTCTGTCAGGGAAGGGTCCAACTAAATGCTATTTCTGTTACAGATAAATATACTTGATGTTTAATTAACAGATCTAGGCTGGGTTCCTATTGTCATGCATTCTGTTACTATTTTAGAGTATCCGTTATAAAATAGTTATGAAAGAGACTTTTTTTGCATGAGAATTTTGCTTTGTAAAATACAGATACACACTTTTAGGTTATATCAATTATTTTCTCATATAAATATTTATTTATATTTATTATCAGATTTATTATGTAGGAAATTTTGGAAGTCCAGAAAACTATAAAAAAATCATTTGTAATCTCACTGCCCTAAGATAACCACTATTAATATTACTGTATTTCCTTCCAGTCTTTTTTCAGCCCCTCTAGTTTATAAAGTTGAGTTTATATTTTATGTGACGTTTTGTATCTTGCTTTTCACATTAATCGCATTATACTCACTGCCCTTTGTTCCTCACATTCATGAACTCTGTTCTGTAGCTACACGCTGTAACATCATGGGGATACGCTGTAACCTCCTTAACTCTGGGCTTCGCAGCCAATGAGATCTTTGTAAAAGATGCCCATTGGATCGTTCCCTGTAAGGCCTCACGTTTTTGTGAGGAGAGCTTGGCCTCCTGGGCCTCCCAGGGCTGCCCGCTCTGCCGCCCGGCCCCCTGCGGCACCCCGTCTGGTTCTCTGGGCTCCGGCCACCTGCTCCCTTTCACTCCCTTCATCTCTCCTGCAGGTGCCTCTTCCTGGCTGCCCCCCTCTGTCTGGTCACCCCTCCGCTATCTACTCAAGTGTCCGGTCCTCAGGGCGGCCTGCCCTGACCGGAGCTCCTAGAGCACCCTGCCTTTTTCCGTCCGGCAGGGAGCTGATGGTCATCATTTCCCTAGGAGGTGTGCCTTAGACAGCATGAGCTGTGTTTGGTTTCGTCCCTATTGTGTCCCCACTGCCTGGAATGAGTGAATGAATGAGTGAAAAAAAAATGTGCCAAGTAGCTCCCTATGTCGGGACCTTCAAACAGCTTCCCGCTGTCAACTGTTGTGAGACATAGTGCAGTGAGTACCTTCATTCAAATTGTGTATTTGTTGTTTCAGATAGATTCCCAGAATCGGAATGGCTGAATCAAGGGGTCTGGCCTTGTAAACTGATTGCCTGATTACTTCCTAGAATGCAGTGCGTGAGAGTGCCTCTCTCACTGAATAGGGAACATTTGAGTAAAATAATCCAAGAGAATCGTGCGACTTTGCAGCTCTGTGCGTCAGTTCAGTCAGTGGCTTGTGCTTGAGTCAGATGTTGGCTGTTTAGCATCTTCACCAGATTTCATTCCATTTGGTGGAAATAAGGCACTGAGGCCTTTATCAGGCAATTGTGTATAATACACACACACACACACACACACACACACACACACACACAAATCACAGCAAACGATTCTCCTGAGCCCATATAGATCTTGCATCAGAGAAGGAAATATGTACCGTGATGTGTTTGTTTAATGAGCAGTATGAATATAGGGTTTCTTCCTTTGGTGTTCTTTGTACCAATACAATTTATCGCCTTCTAGATAGCTTCATCATTTGAGAAAGATCCAAATTAGTTTCCTTAAATTAGCCTTGAGTTTAGCATGCAGGCATCCCCATAACTTTCACATTTGAATATTTTAATTACATCATGTGAATTGTACCCTGTAGTGTGTATGGACTGTAATCCATTTAAATATTTTTAATTTAAGGACAAGGCAACCTGTGTTGATCAAATATAGCTGTATGAGAGTTCCATAAAGACAGACTTTGCAGTTGTAGTGAGTGCAGTGTAATAATGTATCTGATTAACAGCACCACGTGATTGGCAGCTGTTCCGAGGACTTCCTTGGAGAACCCGACACACCGTCCAGAGGGGGCAGTTACAGGCGAGAGGAAGCCTCACCGGCCTGTGGCTCATCTGCCAATTCCTGTCCCCGGTGCATGTCATAGTACTTTGGTGACTGCCATTTGTTGATTTTAGAAACAGGTGACTGTTCCAACAGCAGTGGAAGCCCCATCCGGGGGCCTTCTCCATGTGTACAGTCCCCCGGGGAGGGGGCTGGTGTGAACAGTGTTTTCAGGCAATTTAGAGGTTGAGGAGGAATATGTAGGCTGTGGAGGCAGACAATGTGCTCGGGTTCCAATCCTGGCTTCACCACTTACTAAGTATATGACCTTGGGCAAACACTCCATTTTCTTATCTATAAAATGGGTATAATAATAGGGTTGGGATTAAATAGGTTTTGGCATATGCTAAGAACTCAGTAAATGCTAGCTTTTATTTCTGCCATCTCATTCAGTATACCCATTGCCTTATTGAAAGAGAAAGGGTTCACGAGGCAGGCTGTGCTTTTATGCTCCATCACATACACGAAATCTAACACAGGGCCTGAGACACTTTGGCAAGTGTTAATAAAAGACCATAATTTATCCATAAATGATGCATGAGGTTAATAAATGATGCCTGAACAGCAATCTTTTTTACCCTGAGTTCAAAGCCCGCCGTGGGGGAGGAGGAGGAAGACGGAAGTCGACATTTCAGCTGTATTATGGATAGAGCTGTGGGAGCAAAGGGCGTGGTGCAGCCACACTGCGCTCCCTGCGACTGTGGTGCAGAACTGGACAGCCTGACTGCCGCCCCACCTGCAGTCCTGACCGTTGCTGGCCAGGCCCATGAATGCCCACTTAGCTAAGAGCTTCCCATGCCACGTGCTGTCCATGGGCAGACGCCTCCCCACCAGGAAGGGAGAAGCGAACTCAGCTCGGGAAGGCGGGGTCCTGTTCCAGACTCACCTGTCAGATACGTCAGTTACTTATACTGGGAAGAAGGGAGGATGTGGAGAGAGGCCAGGACTCGTTCACTGAGGGGTGGTCCTCCCATGGAAACTTGCAGCCCAGGGTAAGAAAGGCTGTCACCCCTGATGGCTGGTGAATGAACAGGCAAATCTAGATCACTGAAGCTATTGAGCAAACCCAGGCAGAAGTTTATAGTCTCACGGAGCAGACTGAGTTCGTTCCATTAAGACTGGTCCCTTTAAAATACCCCGGAATACAGTCGGGTGGGCTTTGGAACGTGACCATCGTATCTGTGGTGAATGACACGCCCCTTCCCCCGTTTCCCTCTCTCGCCCCGTCTTCCTTGTCCTGTGCTGCAACTCAGACATCCCTTCTTCCGCAAGTTTTCCCAGTCAGCTGGGTCCAGGTCAGACACCTCTGCCTTTCTCCAGCCCGCACATCCTCCTGTCGACACTTAGCACACTGCTGCAGCCATGCCCTGACCCGCCTTCTCTCCCCAGGCTGTGAGCCCCTGAGGAGCAGGGACCACCCTCCCCTCTCCGTGTGCCTGGTCCGTGTTGGGTCCTCGGTCCCGGGTGCTGATGAGCCAAGGCGCACGTCCATCCTCAGTCCTGCTCGGCTCACGTTGGAGCCTTTGGTGTTCGCCCCGTGGGAAGGCACGCGAGGCCCCTGGGCGTGTGCCATCTCCCCGTAACGCTGCTGTCCTCTGTTCCCAGGCTCGGGCCCACCCAGCTCAAGATCTTCACCTGCGAGTACTGCAACAAGGTCTTCAAGTTCAAGCACTCGCTGCAGGCGCACCTGAGGATCCACACCAACGAGAAGCCGTACGCGTGCTCCCACTGCAGCTACGCCAGCGCCATCAAGGCCAACCTGAACGTGCACCTGCGCAAGCACACCGGCGAGAAGTTCTGCTGCGACGACTGCTCCTTCACCTGCCTGAGCAAGGGCCACCTGAAGGTGCACGTGGAGCGCGTGCACAAGAAGATCAAGCAGCACTGCCGCTTCTGCAAGAAGAAGTACTCGGACGTCAAGAACCTCATCAGGCACATCCGGGACGCGCACGACCCGCAGGACAAGAAGGTGCAGGACGCCCTGGACGAGCTCCGCCTGCTGACCAGGGAGGGCAAGCGGCAGCTGCTGTACGACTGCCACATCTGTGAGCGCAAGTTCAAGAACGAGCTGGACCGCGACCGCCACATGCTGGTCCACGGCGACAAGTGGCCCTTTGCCTGCGAGCTCTGCGGCCACGGGGCCACCAAGTACCAGGCGCTGGAGCTGCACGTCCGGAAGCACCCCTTCGTGTACGTCTGCGCCATCTGCCTGAAGAAGTTTGTCAGCTCCATCAGGCTGCGCTCCCACATCAAGGAGGCGCACAGGGCCGCCCAGGAGACCTTGGTCTTCACCAGCTCCATCAACCAGAGCTTCTGCCTCCTGGAGCCTGGGGGGGACATCCAGCAAGAAGCCTTGGGGGGCCAGCTGCAGCTGGTGGAAGAGGAGTTCGTGTTCCAGGAGGTCAGTGCCCCCAAGGAGGCGGACTGCCCTGGGGAGGCCCAGCCTGAGGAAGGACGGAAGGGGCTGGAGGCCCCGGTGGGGGTGCCTGCTCTGCTGGTGCACGTGGCCACCCCCCATTCCGAGAGCCCCACCCTGTCCTCCTGTGAGCTGGGAGCTGCGGAGGTCGCCTCGGACCTCCATTCGCACGTGGTAGTTTCAGCTGACCTCTTGTTGAGAAACGATACCTCCTCGGCTGAGGCCCATGCTGCTCCTGAGAAGACCCTGGACACCCAGCACGGGGGCTCTGTCCAAACTCAGGGCGAAGGAGTCAAGCCGCTGCTGCCCCCGGCCAGAAGCCCCGATCCAAACCAGGAGACCCAGGGCGCCCAGGATCCCCCAGGGGAAGGGCCGAAGACGGCTGCCCTGCCACCCGATGGACCAGATCCCAGTGGGTGTCTCAGGTCAAACCCAGAGGAGGCCTCAGACCTGCCTCCGGTAGCCGGTGGGAGGGACGTGGCGCTGGACCAGCCTGACTCTTGCACAGCTGCCCCCGAGCACCGGGCCAGCATGAGTGCGTTCATGAGGATCCTGGACAGTTTGCAGAAGAGGCGAATGGACACTGGCTTGTGCGAGAGGATCCGGAAGGTGTACGGAGACCTGGAGTGTGAATACTGTGGTAAGGAGAGGGGGCAGAGCACACAGCGGACGGGCCCTCTCACTCCCACAGGCCATCCATCCCCACCTTGTTTTGGGTCACCTCATGTTTGATTTGAGCTCATGTCTCTTTGCACAGGACAGCTTCTAAACAAGCTACCGAGCTATCCTTCATTTTTAGAGAGTGACGGGTAGCTGCCCGTGTTGCACGTTAGCACTTGAGGTCTTTGTGAAGGCAGCCGGGGAGACGGGACAGCTGACCGTTGGGCTGTCGGGTGTGCATGCAGAGGTTTAGCCCACGGCCTCTGCCAGAACTTTAACCAAGGAGAGCCTTTCTTCTGGCCGATGACACGTTAAAATAGAGCTTTAAGTTGTGGCCGTGCTCTAGATGAGCAGAGAGGTGACCGAAGTGGCTTCAGCTCCTTGTAGGGAGGCCCCGCATAGAACCTGCCAGTCCCAGTGCACGCTTGGCCTCTGAGCCTCCTGGAGAGGTGGCAGCGCGGGAAGCAGGAGACCCAGCTCTGGGCCCGGTGTCCCAGATGTCAGTATTCAGAGACTCTCTGTTTTATGCATGTGTATAGAAGTATTTGACACCACCATTGACCCTCAATAACTGTTCATTTCCCCTATCCTAGCTCCGACATCAGGCAGAAAGACTAGCACCCTTAATATTTGCAACCTCCTACCTCTGACAAGTAATTTCCAGACAGAAATGTGGTGGAAAGCGTGAAGGGTGACCTGGACAAGCAGTAGAGGGAGATAAAAATATAGTCGTTACAAAGTCGTAATAATTTAAAGAAAAAAAAATCAGATTCAGTATAAAAGAAACTTCCTTGTTCTCACGTGACAATATTTTTTTAGGCAAACTTTTTTGGTACCAAGTGCATTTTGATATGCATGTCCGCACCCACACCCGGGAACATCTGTATTATTGCTCCCAGTGTCATTATTCTTCCATCACCAAAAACTGCCTTAAACGCCATGTAATTCAGAAACACAGTAACATCTTGCTGAAGTGTCCCACTGACGGCTGTGACTACTCGACTCCAGATAAATATAAGCTGCAGGCCCATCTTAAAGTTCACACAGAGCTGGTAAGTAGAAGCCCGGATGGCAGCCCGCGTCCCCTGGGTGCTCATGGCTTTCTCACTTTTACGCAGACGGCTGTGTCCATGCTCCACGCCCATCCAGTGTGTACTCGTCCTGCCTGGAAACCGGAGGGGTCCGAACCGGAAACAGGCTCTTTCCCAGACAGGGGGCTTCGCCCAGGGGTTCCTTTCACAGGGAGAGTCTCACATATGTTGAGAAAAAGATTAGATTGAATACAGTGGCTTTCTATGCTCATTTTTCAGCATCGGAGAAAGTGTACAGAAAAAAGATGTACAGAACAGAAGTAAAGCAAGAGTGTCTCCGATGACGCTTTAAAGAATTATTAATAACAGGGATAATAATAGGAACAGCTGCCGCTAAAAGTTGTTGACAGGTTAAATTAGATAAGGCCTGTAGCGTGTTAAGCACGGTATTTTGTTCACAGTAACAGCACCGTAAATGTTGACAACAAGCGTTGTCCAGCCATTGTGTTTTTTGTAGGAAACTTTAAGAGTATCTGTGAAGCACATTTATTTAAAAAAAAAGTGACGTGTTCATTCAAGGTGCTGTTAATATTCACGATGGTAAAACTTGTTTAATTCTTTGGTGGTAGGTCATGTGACACAATGAGTGAATGTTTATTTTTGCAAACCCTAATCTAACTGAAGAGGCTGCTGCCTGAGAGCGACTTGAGATGTGTTGGTCTCATCAGGGAGGTACAGCTGGCCCAGGTGGGGTTCTGTTCTAATTGCGTTCCTTGTTATGCCACAGGCAGCACAGCCTTCAGACAGCTGAAGTTTATGCCACTTGCTGTTCTCCGGCATGAAAATCATTAACAGCATAGCCGTCTATCACCGGCTGACGGGGGAAGTCAGGGGTTTCAGGTTTTGTGGGAAGGTCAGAACACACATTTGGGGTTAGATCCCTGCATTCAAACTGTCTTGAGCTCTAACTACACAGGCCGTGTGACATTGGGCAAGTCACTTGTCCTTTCTGAGACTTGGTAGCCCTTCTGAAATGTATATGGAAAAGTATGGATCTGTTTTATGCACACACATGTGTACACAAATATGCACAGACATATACACACATAAGTATAAGTATACACACGTGTTTTTTTCGTTTTGTTATTTTTTTTAAGCTGAGCCATCCTGCCACCTGTTGGCAGCTCAGCAGCAGCTCAGCTCGGGCCGGGCAGCAAACCGCTGTTGCTCAGAGCTTGCACTCTTAAGCGAGCTCTTAACCAACTGAGCCACTTGGCTGGCCCCACACATGTGTTTTTTAATTGACTTTTTTTCCAGTTACAGTTGCCATTCAATTTTGTATTAGTTTCAGGTGTACGGCATAGTGGTTAGACATTTATATAATTTAAGAAGTGATCCCCCCCCCCGAGAACTCTAGTTAACGCATATGTACACATGTGCACACACGTTATGTACAGCTGTAACACAGTACACATATGGACGCACATGTACACGTGTATATTTGTGCATGTATATGGATCTAGACTTACTGGGAGATCGAAGTGGAGTGCTCGCAATAAAGAACTTGGCTCAGTGCTGGTGTGGTAGACTGTGTACCACCTGTCACATGCCACCTGGTACCACTTAGGACACGTTCCTGTTCCCTGTCAGAGCTGCTGACAGGGTGGCATTGCTGCCAGTATTCTCTTAGGGCAGGAAACCTGAGGTGGCGGAAGTCACTGTTGTGACTTCGCCAGGAACGCATATGAAGTGAAGATGGAGTGAGGCCAACACGAGAACAGGGTTCTCAGGGCAGCCTTGGAGCCTAGCCGTTAAGACCAGGAACCAGACTGCCCCCATTGACCATGCCTGTAGCCGTAAGAGGAGCCATGTTTTGGCGCTGTGCCCGGTTTACCCATCCTCGGGTGAGGAGGAGGTGAGGGAATAGATGCAAAGGCCTCAGAAACAGTGCCTGGCGTGGGGTAAGCTTTGTAAGCCAGCGACTGTTACTGCTGTTAATATTTATTCCGCTTATCATTCTGGGACTTGTTGCTCAGGAGTTAGAGATTTTGAAACACGAGGAAGCTGTAAAAGAGCTTTGTGACCTGGGTGGCCTGTTTTCCACGCCCACCGTGTGTCTCAGAGGGACGCGTGGTCTTGGCCCGGGAGGTTGGTGCTCAGCCTCCCGCCCGCAGCCCTGGGGCTCCGGGTCAGCAGGGAAGTGTCAGGGACAAGCTCTAAGATCTTCAGCTCCAACCTCATATGCTTTCGTTTTTCTTGGGAAACTGGCATTTAAAGAAGCTTTAATTTTCAACTCTTTGTGGTTATGAATCTTCAAAGTGAATCTCTCTTTAGCACTGACATTTGAGAAGCCATCCGAGGAAGTGTGGACTGGGGGAAGGGAAGTCGCTTTTGCTGTTGTCATCCCGGGTGCAGGCCCTCATGCGACCTTACTGAGTGCCACCACTGGGAGGTGGGGACTGCTCCCTCCACTGGGCAGATTAGGTGTCTTCTATCGGAGTCATAGGGTAAGGTGCCATCGGTCACACTGTTGGTAAGGGACAGAGATGGAACTCAAGCCCATGGGTTCTCCGTGACCCACGCTCTGTCACTGCCCCCCACTGCCCACTCGTGGTGGTCGGTCATGAATCTCAGCCACGCCGTTCCTGGCAGGTCACTTGTACGTCATTCGAAGGAGTGTGGCGGAGGTAGACTTTGTCCCATAACAGCAGGGACTGTGTTGACATTTTCTGTGCTGTGCCTTATGCTCCAGGAATAAACGTGTCTGAAAGTCCCCGTGAGAGAAGTGCGGGAATAAGGGAGCAGGACTTTGCTGACCTTTCAAACAAGGAGGCTATCCTGATTCCCGTCAACACCCCCACCTGCTTACAGGTTGTTCAAGTTGAATTTCAGCCTTTTCCCTCGCTGGTATTTGCGTGCTTCCATTTGAAACACTTTTAAAGGTGAATGTGCTTCTCTGCTCCTGCAGCTCGCTGACACGGGTCACAGGCATCATTTCCTGGGATTTTTCTGCCAGGCGTTGGGATTTCCAACATGAGTAAGACCCGTTTCTGCCCTCAAGGCTTTCTTTGTTTCATGCGGGGATAAACAAATGGACATAATGACAATATGGCCATGAGGGAGGGTGAGCGAGGCCAACACACACCGACCTGGACCAGGCCGGGTCACGGTAGAGGAGGGCTGCCTGGAGGAGGAGTTCTAAGCTCGATGGGTAGGATTTGGCCAAGGGAAGAGGCAGGGAGGAAATGCCCAGCAGAGTAGCCCGCACAAACCAGGGGGGGCCTTTCATATGTATGTCCGGATAATGAGTAACTAAGCATTTTCCATGAAGCAGATGGCCCGTAATGCCAGCGTCGTAGAGAGCATCAGTTATGAAGACGGGTTTCAGTATTTTGAGTTCAGAAAGCATTTGTCTTTTCAGCCTGTAAATTATTTCTATAATGAAGCCAAAGGGACCAAGGAGATGTTGACACAATAGAAAGGTCTTCTGTTAGCTGTCGTCACTTACTTTCCCCTCCCCCAGCCTGGGACAACCACCAATCTGCTTTCTCTCAATGGATTTGCCTGTTCTGGACATTTCTTATGGAATAGTGGCGTGAATTCCATGCCTCAGGGTGGAGGCGAGGTAGCATGAATGAGCTTGTGACAGAGCGGCGCCACATGGATGCCATTGTCCAGGAAAGGCAGAGCCCTGCTGTTCTGACCGGGGGCGAGTCCTTGCGTCAGTCCACGTGGGGCTTGGTTTCCTTACCTGTGATGCAGGGAGGTGGGGCCAGGTGTGTTGAGTCCGGTTGGGCTCTCCCATTTGATCTGGCTCTTACCCGTTATCAACACAGAGTCGCATGCAGTGCAAAACTAAGGAAATTTAAAATAAAAGCCCACCCTCACTCCCATCCCAAGTGGCCCTGTATCCAGGTCCATTCCAGTGGCGACAGGACTCCGGGAAAACTTGGCTAAGCTCCTGTTTCTGAGACCCAGTTCATAGCTGAGGGCGCAGCTAATGGTTGGAAGGTGCGCACACACTGAATATAGTTTCTTCTCACCACCTCTTCCATCTCGTCAGCAACTAGATGGTGTGACTTACAGTCAGGGATGTGTTGGAATCAAGGAATTGTGGGGACCTAGTCAAGGAAGTTGGTGACCTTTACGGAGCAAGCCCGCTTCTTACAGCACTGTGCACACTTTGTGAAGGGGAGGCCGGAGAGAACAGGATATGTGTCCCGTGAGAGGGGACTGTGAGTCTGGCATGCTGGATGGACCCACACCTGTTATCTGGGGGCCATTGCTGACCCTCCTGGAATCTCACCTGTAAAATGGAGCTAAGGTACTTTCTCCTACTGCTTAGGGTTAAATTAGAAATATGTATAGGACTCCCCAGTGAGTGTTTTTTTAGTCCCTTGACCATGAGAATGTTATGAAATCAGTTTAGTGGACCACAGCTAGTGTATCTTAAAAACGAAACAGAAGAGAATAAAATAGAAATAAGCAGCATCATTCATCTATACCAAGGGTAAGTAGTATTTTCTGAGACCTTTGTTTCTGTGTTTCGTATGTTTATCTGTCCACGTGTGTACATGTATGTGCTGGGCGGGGATGTTAAACAGGTGGGTCCCATGAACCAAGTTTGCAAGGCACTGACCCAGATGATGTAATTCATGGCGTCCCGAATCAGAACCCCACGGGAAATTGTTACGGATGATAGTTCTGGGCTCATACTGCCGTCATGATTTGAGCGGGGACCTGGGAGTTTGTTAATGAAATAAGTTTCTCCTGACACAGACTTTTGAACTATCAGGAAGTGGACCATATGGTGGATATGTCAGTCTGTTCTCTTTGTCTCTGGCTTGGGTTTCTTCTCAGCAGACCTCACAGGTAACCGGCGCCAAGGACGGCGTAGCAGTTACGAGCTGGGGAATGGGCACGTTTTGGTGTTGCATTCTGATGCTACCACTCTACTCGTGAGCGGTGTGACTTCACTACCTGACCTCCGGCCCCTCGTCTGTCAAGTGGGAATGCCAGTC